CGCGCCTGCTGCTAGACTACGCCCTGCGCGCGGGCCACGCGGGCCTTGCGAGGCCGGAGGGGAGCAGCCGCTGCGCAGACACGATGGCGTTTTTTTAACACGAAGCTATGGCTGCCGACCAGTTATATACCTTCGCCTATCCAGGAACACATGCAAGTGTTGCAGACACTTCGTCGCATGTCTTTTATAAAGAAATATGCGCTCAAGAGCTCAGCTTTGCTCCACCTGCCGCCTGTTTTACCGCAGGTCCTGCTTGGCACATTTGGGCGAGGCTCGGCCTTGGCTCGGCGCCACCGGCTGGGCTCTTTCCTCTTTTCCCTTAGCTCTCGGAGGACACCAAGGACATGGACATGGCGCTCCGGACCTGCAGCCACCTCAGACGAGCAGAATGCCAACAGATCTCACAGCATCTGGAGCATCTTCCCGCACCTTCACGCGAAGCGGCAAGCGCAACAAAGCAGCGAGTTTTGGGCATTTGAAACGGCAGGCCTGGACCACGGCCGCACGGAGATCGTCCGCGAGGCCTTAGAGGCCCCGCTTAAGGGAGCTTCCGCCGAGCGCGAGGCAAAAATCAAGAGCTGACGAAACCTCCGCAGATCTCTACGCTCACAGTAGCATGTAGGTGTATCTCGCGGGTCTGTTTCTTCAATCTGAGCAGCCAAGAGGTGCATGAGGAACAAGGGAAGTACGTCTCAGAAGCGTCCTGCCGATGTGCATCCAGTACAAGCAGTCGATTAGACTGCTGACGAGCGACAGAAAGATGGCTGCGAGCCTTGGAATGAGAAGGAGACGACTCGAAGGGACTCGAAGACATTGAGGGGAGGCGGAGGCACCTAGGGAGAAGGCAAGCGGGGCCGCTTTCTGCAGGTCATGTGGAAGGCTCGCAGCGGCGGGCAATCCGAAGGCCAGCAGCGCCAGCGGCGCTTAGCCGCTGCAGCTGCGGTCCCATATGGCATATGATACGATCGGATCGGCTGCAGGGCCCCCTCTTCTGGAGCTGGAGGGCGGCTTCGCTCCCATAGACCACCCTGCGGAATGCGCCAAGCTCAGCTCAGCTTTGCTCTGTGATCTTTTGGGGAACCTCTTCGAAGGGCCGATTTGTTTGCCTCGGTCGCACCTGCTGCAGGTAGCATTTGCTTCGCCCTCTGCCTAGTCCCTGCAGCTGCCCGCTAGCTGGCTGCCCTTTTTGCAATCTTCGCAAATCATCGCAACCCTTTTCGAGGAGGAGCTCTACACGAATCCAGGGTTCTCGGCTCAGAAAAGTTTGCTTGCAAGACTATAAGACACTAAGACACTATAAGCGGTCAAAAGGCGGTAAAGGCCCAGGGCCAGGAAAACAGGGCAACCCGCCACGTGTCTGAGGGTCTATGTCAACGAGTTCCGGCCTTGGCATCCGTCGGCATGCGGCCGTCAGCGGGCTGCCGCGGGGCGGCGGGGCTGCCCCGCGTCAGGCATGGCCTCCGTGTGTGCGGGCACTTCACCTGCCTCAACTGCGCCGAGCATGTCCAAGACGAGGACTCCGAGAGCAGAGCGGCAGAGCAGGGAGAGGGGAGGAAGAGGAGAGAGAAGAGCGGTGAGCGGAGTCAGAAGATAGACGACGAGCACAGAGCTTGGAGCGCTGCAGCGACTGCGCCGTGTCGGAGGCCGGCGAGCGCTTCCGCGCCTGGAGGGCCCGGCGAGAGCCTCGCATTCCGCGGCCGCCCGGCCCCGTCTGCCCGAGCCCCAAAGCCCGAAACACCTGCGGTGCGCCTGAAGCGGCGCGCTGGCAGCGGAGGTCCTCTTTGCCGAGCTCCTTTCGAGGCAGCGGCCCGGTGCTCAAAGGAATGCCCGCATCTGCCCGCATGCGCCCGCCTGGTGGTGGCGCTGGCTCTGTGAGGTGCGGCTCACAGATCCCACGGTGGATCCCAAAGCCTTCTTCCGCCTCGCCTGCGTTCCAGAGGCGCGAGGGCCAGGGCCCCGCGGCGCGCCTGGAGCCGGCGTGCACATGTCTGCGACTGGCAGGACGCCGATGCGAATCCGGTCGAGTTCCTGACTTTGAAGGAGAAATGTACCAGTGGCAATGTAGCATGGTCACATGCCACTCGACAGTCTGGCAGAAGCTGCCTGAGGAGAAATTTGCCCTCAGCACACTCGGCGCATTGCTGCCAGCGGGGGGCAAAAGGGAAAGGAGAACGGGCAGTCAAAAAGTCGTGGGATCACGAGGTGAACGTCTCGAACTTTGCAGCGACCTTCCAAAGCCTCTGGCCAGCCCCTGGCCTGGGAGACTGGGAGAGATAGCGTCGCCGCAGCGTTGCGTAATCGTCGCCGCGGCGAGGCCTGGTGCGGCGCAGAGGATCTCCGGCCTCGGCCGGAGGGATTGCGGGAAGCGGACTTCCTGAGGCAAAGAGAGAGGTAGAGAGCTAGAGTCAGCTAGAGCAGCTAGCAGCTAGAGTCTAGAGACAAGAGAGAGAGAGAGAGACTTAGATTTCGTGCATTATCTACTATCCTGATGCATCTTGTCAGAGTTGTAAACAACCGGCTCCAGTCTATATATATATATATATCTTTGCATATATACTTCTCGTGGCATTCGAAGGCGTTGTATGTGATGACGTATCTCTGCTCTTCTCTTGCGTGTTACTCAGAGCCCGTACTGAAAATCTGCTTGGGTAGGCGCCGGGCGCACGCAGAACATACATTCAAGTTTGCACTGTTTTGCAACACGGGCAATTGCATCTCGTGTGTGAGAACTTAACATACCGTTGGAGACGCAGGGTAAAGTCTCTTCAACCCACGATCTTCTGGAGTCGTGAATGCATCACTCGCCAATCGCCATTCGTCGAGGCGAAGACAATGCTTGTAGCCGTATTCCGAAACCCACGCTATAAAGCTTTTTTGTCGGGTCTCTGTGCACTTGTAGAGTGCATGCTTTCTCGACTGTTTACGCCGTTTCCTTTATTTCAGCATGGCAGAAACAAGTACAAATGGGGAACATCGGAGCCCAATATCTGAGAATTCTCATAAAGCTGTAGCTTATTGAGTGAGGGACTTCACACCTTAAAGAGTTTCAAACACACTATCCTAGGTAATCCGTTATAGAATGCTCCTTACCTTGTATATACCTTGCTGAGTACCCCTATATATACTTGTAGCTTGAAGAAGATCTTGTCGAATACCAGCTAGAATGCCACCTATATATACAGAAAAAACCCGTACCAAACATCACAGAAGAGCATCTACATGGAGAAAATCCGGAGGAGCCCATGATCCGAGGACTCCCCAGTTCAAGTAAGTGTAGTTTCTTGAGTAAGGCGTTTTCAATCGTTCCCAAAACTCCTTAAATGTACTACTGAATTCCTTAAATTCCTTAGAACCCCTAGCCCCATGTATTGGATTTAAGGAGTTCCCCAAGTCCATCAATTCCTTGAATTCCCAGATTCCCTAAATTGCTGGTTAGGAGATTCAAGTGTTCCCAGTATGGGAGGGTCGGAGGGTATGTACGGAAGTTTGGGAACTTACGGATTTAGGGAGCTCCCTGCATCCAATAGGGAGGGCTAGGGGTTGGGCAAAAGCTTGATGAGGAGACTGTCGCATATATTTTTCTGTTGGGTCTGCTCTTCGCCGCTCGAGGCCTGGTGGCATGCTCGCGTGGCTCAGCGGGCATCTGCTGGAGCTCAAAGTCCAAGGCGCACGACATGCGTACATGCGTGTGTGCGGCCCGCCGGAACTCTGCAGTGGCGGAGTCGGAGGCCAGCTGGGCCAGCCACCACGCCTGGACTGTCGGAGCCTCACAGCCGTGTCACAGCCCTTCAGACTCTGCTCGGAGTGTTTCTGGAGAGGTCCAGAGACGTGGTTCCGGCACTTCGACTTTCAGAATTCGGGGCGCCTCACGAAATCCGAGCTGCGCGGGACCCGGACGAGCGGTGGGAGCTCGAGCGGTGGGCCGCACCTGCGTCTCGTCACGTCACGTCTCGCCGGCTCGAGGCTCCGGGGCGTGGTGAAGGCTGGTTATAAGCGAGTCCGCACAGCGAATTTCGCAGCTGGCTGGTGCTGTCGGCTGTTCGGTGTCCCGGGAGGCCTTTGACTGTTCGCAGCTCGCGGCGCCCGGGACGCCCTCGCGCCGGGCGAGGAGCGCCGGGGCGCCGGACCTAATGCAGAAGAAAGGTGCCAGGCTGCTATCAGGTGTTGAGGCGCGAGGTGGAGCTCTGGCACTCGAGGTCTTGGTCCTCCGGGATCTCGTCGAGGCGGTGGGAAGCACAGTCCCAGAGACTCATGAGTCCCCCCGGCGCCATGTCTCTGCGAAAGCCCTGCGCGGGAACTCCAGGTCTGGGACGAGGAGCGCTGGTCATCCGGTGTGCCATTGGAGGATCCCCAGATTGAGATTCTTCCAGTCAACCTCGCCTGGTGTCTTCTGTGGGACTCCGGCTCCGACCCTTCAGGATTTCCTGGGCCAGGTGCTCGATTTGGATGGCGCCAGGTCATGCAGTCATGAGGATTCGACACTCGTAGCTTTCGGCTCTCGACGCTCTCGCGTCTGAATCGAGGCAGCAGCGGCTTGGCCGAGCGCCTGCGAGCAGCGCTGCCCCCAGGCGGCCCATTGCCGGCCACAGCGAGTGGTCCAAGTAGGCGGGGAGGGAGGGGTTGGGATGGCGATGGATGCGATGGTGGCAACCGAGATTGCACTCCTTTCCTGGCACTTTGTGTCCCAAGGAAAGGAAGGCATGGTCTAACGCCTCAGGATCCAGACGATCCTGATCCAGGTTCCTTTGCCATATCTTTTCTTCCGGCTGAGGTAAGGAGCTCAGGAGACGGAAGTGTGGGATCGGCAACGAACAACGGCTTAGACTATAGACAACTGTCTGACAAGTTGATGAACAAGAACATCAGCACGACTCTGCCGCAACTTACGCCACTGTTGTTATTGCCCGGCAACTGGAAGGCGTCTGCTTGCAAGCCCTGCAGAGCATTGGAACCCTCGCGCTCATCTTCCGATTTGCCCGGTGAGTTTCTCAGATTCTCGAATGCCGCCATGCAGGCCTGCGGACACGCCGAAACCGCAGACTGTAAGCGTGGAGGAGGCAGTATTTCACGGCATCGGTATGTGATATGTATATATATATATATGTACATACATAACATCTATATAAGAATGATTCTATTTCGTTTGACCAATGACCTGTATTGCCAAGCCAATGTAACTCAAGGACATTCTAGGACTTCTCTTCGCTGGATCTGCGACAACTGTTGCCAAAGTTAGTATATCTACAATGACTAGTTGTTTGCATTCGGTCTACGACTTATGATGGTCAGCCAAGATATCTGTAGCAATTCTTACTGTATGACATCACTGTATGACTCATACCAGCGATGTTGGGAGGGGTGGTGTAGGGCAGTTCTCTTCTTTTCCTTCGGTATCCAACCTGTATTGCCTATACTCGAGAGAGAGAGAGGCTTCGTTCCGACACGGATGCGGTCAATACAACCTTTTGAACGCAGATGGTCTTTCCTGCTTTGACATACTCGGCAGCTGCTGACGAGTCGTAAGTACCATGCTTTTCGAAGCCTTTACAGCTGATGTGCGTACGATTCACATGCTTGCCGTGATGCCATGGCAGGGTTATTTTGTCGTTCCTTTACTTGTGCTCCTTCAGTACTTTTCACGTTGCTGCCACAGCATTGCATTTCCTGTAGCTGAATCACGTGGGGTCCGTCCTAGACATCATTGCAGGTACACGAGTTGTCCAGCTGTTTTTGCTGGCCTGCGAGAAGTCTTCAACGGTGCATGAACCGGGCCGCGAACCACGTGCCCGCGGGCTGCAGCGCAGCGACGGCCCGCTTAAGAAACAGAAACAGTTATGTTTGGATGAAGGTAGCCTCGATTTCTTGTGAGGGGTACCTTGGATTGCTTAACCTCCAATGTTTTCCTCTCAGGCTTGTTGGGCCTCTAACTCCAACAAGCAAGGCGAAATTTCTGGACAAACACCCAGAAGATCTGAACCCGAGAGTTTTCCAGCTAGCTTGTGCGCTTGACCGCTCAGGGGTCCAGGATTTTTTTGTTTAGAAGGTTTGGCCAAGGTTTGGGCTTTTGGAAGGTTTGGCTGAGCCCTTGGTTCCCTCGTCTGCTCGTTCCCTGGTCCTGTGGTCCGCTGGTCTTCTGGTCCTTTGGTTTCGTGGTTCTTGTGTTCCTTACTCGCCTGTCTTGCGGTTCCCCGGTACGCTTTTCTCCCCTGGTCCCTTGGTCCAGAGGGTCCTCTGGTCCCTTGGTGTCTTCCCGGCTCGTTTGTTGTTTCGCTGCGTCTGCTGCTGCGCCTGCTGCATGTGCCTGCTGCTGCGCCTGCGCGTTCTACGCCTAAGCGTGCTGCTGCGCCCGCATTTTTGCGCCATGCAGGCTGGCTTTCAAGAAAATCGCACCATCAACAAGAATTGCGTCAAACACGTAGTTGTTATGGCGATTTTAAACGCCATCATACAGGCAGTCTGTTTGCAAATGAGGGGTTGCGTTCCCGCCACCCCCCCCCCCCCCCCCCCCGCGTTAGTTTTAAGCTGTGCAAGATCGCTTCAGGTATCATCCTATAGCAGCAAAGACAAACCCCATATGGACCGTGATGAAGGTGTTTGCAAATGAGGGGGTGCTGCCCCCCCCCCCCCTCCATAACCCCCCGCTTTGCCATGCAGGCTGGTTTTCAACAACCCAGAACCCGTGATAAAGGAAGCGGGGGGCTGCGGGCCCCAGCCTCCCCACTTCGTTTTTGCGCCATGCAGGCTAACTTTCAAGAACTCAGAACCCGTGATAAAGGTATTTGCAACACAGGGCGGGGGCTGCGCCCCCGCCCAACCCCCCCCCAATGGCCGGGTTAAATAGGGTCTGTTTGGAAGCTGGCATTCGGGTTTTGTTGTAGTCATATACTCTCCCACGAAGGCCGGCTAGCTGATACCAGCGAGATAGAGTACGTATTGGAGCAACATTCTGTTAAATTAACAGAATGTTAATGTCAGGCTTGTGTCACGAGACCTGACTCGGACAGCAAGTTAACACAGACAAATAACTGACAGCGTAATGCCAAGCTAGCAACCACGCATCAGTATACAGCAACACAATGCCGCTTCTCTTCTTGTTTCGGAACAAGACTCAGCATAAATGAGCAATCGCGAACCAAGCGGTAAGCAGCGACAAGTACCCAACAACGCAAATACAGCTTCCTTTCTTGTTTCGGAGCAAGACCTCGAATAAATGAGCTCTCACGAACAAAGCGGCAAGCAGCAACCAAGCAGGCCCCTCCAACTTCACGAGAATTCAGAGGTCTCCATTTACCCATCGGTCGGCAAGAAGAGAACTCTTTTCTCTCTTGATCAGGGGATTGGATCGTTTTTTCCTTTACCTCTTCAAAAGATGGAAAAGGAGACGCGCAAGAAGAAGAAACATTTTCTCTCGCTTGGCAAGGGACAGAGATCCTGAAAATTCCCTTTAGCTGCTATTCAATTGGTGGACAAGGGCATACGCTCAAGAAGAAAGGGCGGAGATTCCCCCGACCCTCAACGAAAACACGGAGAGAGTCCCTCCATGTCATTCAGCTGATTTCGAGCAGAGAATTCCTCTACATACCTCTTGGTAAGCCTCCATCTCCTCTGAAGAGAAGTGAAGGGAGCCCGCTTCTTCGTCATTGGCAAGAAATGAGTTTCTTTTCCCAATATGTGTAAGGAAGAGATCCCCTGGCAAGTCCTCTACCGCATCGTCTCCAAGGAGCAGAGATCCTTTCCAACTTCATGAGAAATAAAAGAATTCTGGCTGCGTCTTGGTCGACAATGCGAGAGAGGAGCTCGTTGTCGTCCCTTTTTCCTCCTCAAGGGATAGAACAAAGATAGCTCTCGAAAAGTGATGACAGAGCTCTTTCAATCTTCAAAAAACGAGTCCCCAGCCTTCAACACGACATGAGCAGCCCTCTACCTCATCCTTTGATTTAGCTTCCAAAAGGAAAAGTCCTCTGCCTCATCCTCGACAAGAAGAGACTGAAAGCTTCCTCCAATCTAATGCCATGGGACAGAAGAAAGCGCCATCTCAACAAAGCAAACAGGCCCCTCCAACTTCACGAGAAAGAAGAGGGCTCGGAGAAGTCCCGGTCGGCAAGAAGAGGCCTCCTTTTTTCTTGATAGGGGGAGGGGATCTTGATTATTGCCATTACCTTGTGAAAAAGGAAGAGAGTCCGTTCTTCCTCCTCGAGGGATACAAGAGAGATATCTCCAGAAGTGAGGACAGAGCTCGGTCAATCTTCAAAAACAAAGTCTGATCCTCCCCCCAGCCTTCAACACGACATGAACAGCCCTCTACCTCATCCTCCGACCTCATCCTCGACAAGCAGAGACTGAGAGCTTCCTCCAATCTAATGGGACAGAAGAAAGCGCCATCTCAACAAAGCAAAAAGGCCCCTCCAACTTCACGAGAAAGAAGAGGGCTCCGTTTACTTCTCGGTCAGCAAGAAGAGGCCTCCTTTTTTCTTGATAGGGGGAGGGGATCTTGATTATTGCCATTACCTTTTTAAAAGAGATGGAAAAGAGCATGCCTTCAAGAAGACGGGGTGGAGCTCCCCCCAATTTTCAAGAGAGTCCCCAGTTTGTTCGTGGCAACAGAAGAGAGCATTTTTCTAGCAGAGAGTTTTTAAGATCCCCCCTAGCTTCCAAGAAGAAAAGTCTTGTACCTCATCCTCCACAAGAAATGACTGAGAGCTTCCTCCCATGTAATGAGACGCAAGGGAGTTCCATCTCAGCAAAGCAGACAGGCGCCTCCAACTTCACGAGAATTAAAAGGTCTCCGTTTACCCATCGGTCGGCAGAAGAGAACTCCTTTCTTTCTTGATCAGGGGATTGGATCCTGAGTATTTCCTTTACCTTTTCAACAGATGGAAAAGAGCATACGCACAAGAAGAAGAAACCACCTTTCTCTCTTGGCAAGGGAAGAGATCTTGATGATTTCTTTTACCTTTTCAAAAGATGAAAAAAGGGCATACATTCAAGAAGAACGGGTGGAGATTCCCCCAACCCTCAACGAAAACAGGGAAAGAGTCCCACCAAGTCATTCAGCTGATTTCTAGCAGAAAGCTCCTCTACCCCTTGGTAAATCTCCATTTCCTCTGAAGAGAATTGAAGAGAGCTCGCTTCTAGTCGAAGAAGACAAGGCTCAAAGCTCCTCCAGTTTCAAGAAGACGAACGAGAGACAAGAGAGCTCCTTTACCTAGTCATCGACAAGAAATGAGCTTCATTTCCCTATATAATGGGTATTGAAGAGATCCCTTGGCAAGTCCTCTACCGCAGCATCTCGAAGGAGCAAAGAACCCTTCCAACTTCACGAGAGATAACAGTACTCCTGCTGCCCCTTAGTCGAAAATAGGAGCGAGGACCGCCTTGTCGTCCCCTCTTCGGATAGAAGAACGATAGCTCTCAAGAAGTGAGGACAGAGCTCTTTCAATCTTCAAAAGAAGAGCCTGATTCTCCCCTCAGCCTTCAACAAGACATGAGCAGCCCTCTACCCCATCTTCTGAATCAGAAAGAAACCCTTCGAACTTCACGAGAAAAGAAGAACTCCGATTTCGTTTTAGTCGACAATAAGAGAGAGGAGCTCCTTGTCGCCACCACTTCCTGTCCAAGGGATAGCAAAGAGATCGCTCTCAAGAAGTGAGGACAGAGCTCTCTCATTCCAAATCATTCTTGGCAAGAGAAGATTGGTTCTTTAGAGAGATTTCTTATACCTCTTCTCAGTCGCCAGCCTTCAAAAGACAAGATCTCATGCTCCAAAACAAAAAGAAAGTTCCCCCGGGTTGTTCGTGGCAATATAACAGAGCATCACGAGAAAGGAGAGAGCTCCGACTGCCACTCGGGCGATAAGAAAGAAAACTTCTTTCTCTCTTCGTCAGGAGCAACAGCTCTTGACCATCTCCTCCTCGTGAAAAAACATGGAAGAAAGCTTACGATCAAGAAGAAAGCGTGGAGCTTTTCCAAACTTCAAACCTTGACAAGAGAAAGGGTCCTCCCCGCGGCTTCAAAAGGAAATTAAATGCGAAGCCCAAGCCTACCTTACCCTGTGAAACAGGAAGAGAGCTCACTCCAAGTTATCTCTGGTAAGAGACGAGAGCTTCATTCTAGCAGAGAGAGCCTTTACCTGTTGGTAAGTCGCCTTTATCTTAAGAAGATTGAAGAGACTTCGCTCCTAGCAAGAGAAGCCAGAGCTCCCCCAGCTTCCAAAAAGAAAAGTCTTCTACCTCATCCTCCACAAGAAATGACTGCTACTGGTTTTTTCGCGAGATAGATCACAAAATCATAACTCGCAAGGTGTGTCCCATTAGGTTTTGAAGAAACACAGATGCCCAAATCACTGATCGCAAAGGGTGTCTCCCTACAGGTTTGTTTTAGAATTATGTTCCCGAATCATAAACCGCAAGGGCTGTCCCCCTAAGGTTCCCCTTAAGGCTTTATAAAAACTCTCAGATCAAGAAGGGTGTCCCCCTACAGGCTTTTGCGCGAAACAGGTACCAAAATCATCAAATCGCAAGGGATGTCCCCCGGCAGGGTTTCGCGCAGAACAATCCACGGAGAGCCCACGCCCGCCTGCTTCCGCGCGCCCAGCCTTCCGACCGAGCCGAAAGCAGGTAAATACCGCGTTAAAATAAGGGTTAGAGATTTCACACATCTGCTGGCAAAATCTGGCGGAAGTGAGCCGAGCAAACAGCCCGTAAATACGGCATTAAACAAACGGCTATAGGGATTTCACACATCTGTTGGCAAAATCTGGCGGAAGTGAGCTGTGATCAGCCTTTTGCTCGGTCGCGGCTCATTTCCGCCAGATGTTGCCAACAGATGTGTGAAATCCCTAGCCCTTTGCTTAATGCGGTATTTACAGGTTTTTTGCCCGATGGCGGGTCACTTCCGCCAAATTTTGCCACAGATGTGTGAAATCCCTAACCCTTGTTCTAACGCGGTATTTACAGGCTTTCTGCTCGGTCGCGGCTCGGGCAGGGAAGGCTGGGCGTGCGGAACTGGAGGTTGGGGCGGCACCCCCTCTCCCTTCCTCCACCCCCCCACCCCCCGCACCCCCCCACCTGTGGATTATTCTGCGAGAAACCCTGCGGGGGGTCACCCCTTGCGATTTGAATTTTGGTACCTGTTGGGACACCCTTTGCGATCTGCGAATTCTTGTAAAGCCTTAGGGGGAATGTCAATCCCAGGTGTCTGCCGACAACGCGATGCCGGCCTGCGGCCCAAGGCACAAGAGTATCCGTTTGTGGTGGATGGAAAAAGTCCCCAGCTGTGCGGGGCCCTAGAGAGCTTTGCGGTCGTGCGTTGGTTCGGTGACTTGTTGTTTCGTCTGTTGGGGTTTTACATTGGTAGCGGAGCTCGAGCCGCGGTCTCGGGCACTAGTGGTCCTTGTCTTGAGTTTCGTCTGTTTCGGCTTAAGGGTGGTCTGTTGTAAAAGCAGTGGGGCCCCTGCCTAGGTACCTCTTGTTTTTTCCGGTAGTTTAGTTTTCGAGCGCTGCGCAAACATGGCTGCTGATGATGGTGTGGCAGCGAGCCAGCCAGAAGCCGGTGCTCCGGAACCGGCGGACCCGTGGGCTGGATGGAACGGCGTCCAGAACCAGCCCACAGCTGAGACGACGACGCAGCCAACGCAGCAGAGCAGCGCCGGCAATGATGACGAGAGCGGGGAAGCCTTCGTCGATGAGAATCAGTGGCCTTCGTGGGGACAAACGGAATGGGATGACTCGTCGTGGGGGCACCGCAGCTCCTGGAGTCATGGGGATCAGAGGTCCCACGGAGGCAGATGGCAGCGAGATCGGTGGAGCAACGCCTGGAGCTACGGACATCCGAGAGAATGGTGGAGCGACGACGGCCATGATGATAGATGGTCAGACGGGAGTCACCACGGATGGAGGGACCATCAACATGGCTCAAGCGCTTCTACGACGACGCCCTCTACGGATTGGGGCGGCGGCTGGCGACAACATGCGGGGCACGATCCACCGGAAGCTGGACAGCGTCGTGACTGGCACGATTCCGGACCGGATGTACGGGAACAAGACGAGAAGAAGGGCATGATCAGCGAGAGAATGGCGGTTCCTACGTTCTCGGCCGAGGGTGTGGGAGAGGAGCTGGGGCAGAGCGCCAAGTCGTATCTTCGACAAGTGGAGGCCTGGACGAAGGTCACCAGGACACCGGCCTCACAAAGGGCCTTGCTGTTGTATCAGAACCTCTCTGGCCGTGCGTGGGTTGAGTCGGAAGAGCTTCAGGTTTCGGACTTAGCCAAGGACGATGGGCTAGAGGTTTTCAAGCGAAGGGTGCAGGAAAGGTACCAGGAGGTCGAGGTCTCGAAGATCGCCGAGTCCTTGACGTGCTTCTTCAAACGACTTCGTCGTCAACCTGGACAATCCATCCGGGAGTTTAACTCCCTGTTCGATCGGGCCCACACCAGGTTGTTAGAGATCGAATGTCGCCTACCAAAGGTTGCGAAGGCGTGGGCATACCTGAATGCCGTTGGCTTGGCTCACAACGAAGAGCTGGCTCTCTTGGCGAGTGTCAACAACGACTACCACACGACGAAGCTTCAACGAGCAGCGACTCTCCACGAGAAGAGTCTCAAAGCCCCCTGGAGCTTCAGGAAGCCTGGCAATGGCGCCTTCGACAAGTCGAAGGGACCCCGCGCAGCCTTCGTGACGAGGCATAGCCTACGTTTTACCGAGGACACCGGCAGGCTTGTCGGAGTGAGCAACACAGACGCAAGGAAAAAGGAAGTAGCCAACACCTGGTACAGGGCGCCGGCATCCAGGCACCTTCTCACCAGCCGAGTGTCTGGCGTTCGCAGGCAGACTCAGGTGGCTGGATGCCCAGACATCGGCAGAAAGGGCAGATGGGCCTTTCGGACCATTTTGGAGCATGGGACTAGACCAGGCAGAAATAGGCAGCTGCAGCTGTCTACCTGGCAAGAAGGAAAAGCAGCGGATTGAAGCAAGGGCCAAGGCACAAGCCACAGGGCAAGGTGGGGGAGGGGGAGGGGGGGCGGAGGGGGGGGAAGGGGGGACGGGGGTGGGGCAGGCCCACAAATCAGGGGAAGCCTGACAAAACGCCTGGGCCTGTGGCCTCGGCGGATACATAATATTTCCTCCTACTCTTGCCATTGTTGCTGGCCCCACAAATGGGATCCCCAATAGCTTGCTGCAAATCTAGCTGAACGGACCCTCGGTCAAACCTTCCAAAAAAACACGGTTTGGCCAAACCTTCTAAAAAAACCCTCCGCCACCGCTCAAGCTGAATGCAATGAAGGCCTTTGATTCTCTAGGCAGCTACAGCTCCGGGCAAGCGTGGTTGGCTAAAGCCCGCCCTGATCCCCCGGGAGTCCATGCGTCGCGCCTGTAAGATCAAATTCAGCCCCTCTGTTTTTTTTAGTTGGGTGTATTTTTGAGTCAAGTCAGAAAACAAGCGAAGAAACATCGAGAAGAGCAGATTAAGAACATGGCACGCCGAGGTGAAGGTACCTCGCTTGGCTTGTTGGCAGCGTTGTTGTTTTTGTCGCATGGCTGAGGGGCTCAAGTTCTTAAACCAATGATGTCTTGAGCAGTGCTGTCACTGTAGCTATTGTAGCACCACAACATGCAAAATAATGCAGGCACTGCGTCTCGCACGAGCCAGTGACTTCAAGACCGTGCAGGAGCGGAGCGGATTTGGTGAGTGTGGTCATGGGGTGGAGGGGGGGTCCCGGCCCGCCCCATTCTCAGGAGGATGAAGCGCGAGCAAAGGCCGCGACCGGGGATCAGGGCAGAGCTACAGGCCACGTAGCTTTGGTTTTGTCTGTCAGGTGCGGGCGGAGAAGCAGCGCCAGCCACTGGCGACGCCGGGCACTGAGAGAGAGGGCGAGCACAGCGGAATCGATGCCTGCAGAGGCAATCTCCGAGCCACTTGGCAAAAAGAAAGTGCCGGGAAAGCCGGAAATACGGCAGCCGCTGTAGTGGTAGCCCCCAGAATTCCTAACTGAAAGGCTCAGAGAGTTTCCGTCTCGCGCAGGCCGGGAAGCCGAGCCCAGGAGGCGCGGGGCACCGGGGGCGGAAAGCAGGAGAGGGTTTGAGGGGCGAGTTGTTTTGAGAGAGAGTGGTTAGCCTGGACGTGGAGGCCCGCTGGGCCGGCGGGTGGCGCTCAAGTGCTGCTGGCGTCCCTCTTGGAGGCGGCCCGCGGTGGGCGCGAGTTTCGCGGTACGTTTGCGTCTGCGTTTGCTTCGGACTTTTGGGAGGCCGCCCGGGAGGAGGGCCGCCTCGGAGCCGAGCCCTCAGCGGAAGCCGGCAGTGCAGCTGCGCAGTGCAGTGCAGCTGCGGCTGTGCCGGCTGCTGCAGCACTGCTGCAGGCCACTCGCCAGCTGCGCATTCAGCAAGGGCCCCAGTACCAAATCCAAAAGAGACAAGATACGAAGTTAAGGGAAGTTAATCACAAGACTGCAGCTCCAGGCTTGTGTTTTCTTGCATCGGTCCCTTCAGAGACAAATCTCGGAATTGCCTGAACCTCACCTGGTCGTGTGATGGCCCATTGGATGCGAAAAGGCAAACGACCATCTTTCGATGCCTGCGAGTGGAAGGTTGTGCCTAGGGCCTAGGGGTCATGGTTATTATGATTACTGTGTTAATCATCTGTCCTGGTCACCAGTGTGTCTCCTTGTCTTTCTCTGTCTTGTTTCCGTTATTAGTCTTACTATTACTGTTATTATTCCCGAGGCACTCCCAATTTCTGACGCTCTCGTCTTGTCTCTCGTTTAGATAATATGCTGTCTGCGCGGCTTATGCTGGACCCCGGAGCGGAGTAACATGCGCCCTTTTTCCGACGCAGGCCTGTCGGAGAGCGACTCTCACTCTCGCTGTTCAAACTTCGAGACGACACAGCCTTGGCAGAAGCCCTTGGCAGATTGAAGGGGAGCCGGCTCTGGAAAAGCCGCCTTAAGACACGAATTCGGAAGGGCGAAGGGCAGCTCTTGGCCGGGGAGCCTCCCGAGGTGCCCCTTCTGTGGCGTGGTGAACGCCGCTCGCGCCTCGGAGAGGCATCGAGCCGCCGCCTCAGCAGCCGAAAAAACAGCTTAATCGCACACACACACACACACACACACATCCATCTCTCTCTCTCTCTCTCTCGCAATACTCCGCGCGCACTTTCTTCGTGTGTTGCCCATATATATATATATATATATATATAGTTTCACATGCGCAGAGGTCATCTGCGGTGCCTGCCGGAGTGTCTTCGTTGGGCTCTCATCATCTAAGATGTTCCGGCGAGACCTCCCTGCAGTCGGGCGCTTGCCAGGCAGTTCCCAGTTTGGGGCGGCGCTGATCGAGACGTGCGGCAAAAAGTGCAGAGAACACGGAGGCTGAACTTCTTCTGTTCTGTCGTTCTGTCGACGATCCGACTTAACCCCGCTCCGCTGCCAGACTGCTCGAGGGAGCAGCAACCGGAAGCATCATGGTGCATGGACACAGAGACCTTTAGACTCATCCCGTGGACATGCAGTGCTTGTAAGGCTCGCTCTAGGGATACAACTGAATTATGCCCGAATTCCGAATGATGCTTTAGGAGCAGACGGAGCCATAGGCCGTGCACCTGACCGAGGAGCGAGAGGCAGAAGGCAAATCGAGCACAGTACGTACCGCAGCAGCGTGGAACATAGATAGCGGGATGTCTTTTTGTTAGACGCCGCGACCGCTCGACCGCTCCGTCATGGAGGAGGGGAGACTTCTGGGGATTTGGGCAACACGGCGACACGGCATGACGGCCTGTCCTGTGAGGCCAGCGAGGCAGGCTCGGACTTTCCGAGGAGGGTGAGCTCCGCGATGGAGAACTCCATCCAGCTTCTGGACTTGGAAGAGGACGCGCCATATGGCGCACATGCGCATGCATGATCATGATGCAATCATGGCTCAGTTCATGCACGATCATATAAAGGCCTCACAGATGCCATGACGGACAGGCTCTCGGGGACTGTCGTGAGGCCGACGTCCTCCGTGGCCGGGTCAACGGTTTTAGCACACCGTGCCCTGCCGGTCTAAGAGACTGAGACGTTTGAGTCTTAAACGTGTCCCTGGCGCTGTGCGTCCCTGCTGGGATCCGCCCCTGCGGCGTCAGCGCCTCGGCGGCTCTGCTGCTCTGCTTAGACCAGCGCCTGAAACAGAGCAGCGCCGAACAGCACCGACTCAGCGCCGAACACTGGAGCTCAGAGCCGAGAGCCCATGCCCCCCGAATCTCGTCCCGAGCACGGCCAGGGCGGCTAGAGACATGTCGTGCCCTTGTCTGCTCTTCAAGCACGCGTAATAGATAGCTATATGTATATACAGGTTATATTATAATATATATATATATATACATATATATCTCTCTCTCTCTCTCTCTCTCTCTCTCTCTGTCTAGAGACTGCAAAACAGCGATGGGATGCGCATCACGGTCCGTTCCCTGACCGGCGCCGGTGCCTCAGCGCGCGGCGCGGCGTCTTTGTTCTGTGAGAAGAGGCTCTGCGGTGCTCTTCAGCTGCACCTGAGGAGGCAGCGGACTTGGACCTGGAACCCTCCACGACGCTCCCGAGCCTCCGGCGCGCTGTCGAGGAGAAGCGGTGCAAGAGCGGAGCGGAGCGGAGCGGGGGGGAGCGGGGGGGGATGGGGGGGGGATGGGGGCATCGCAGCGTCGCCCGCCGGCCATATGGCGCTCAGAGCGCGACCTCGCTTGAGGCCGCCTTGGGCATCCCCGAGGCGGAGCAGCGCTTGGTCTACGCGGGCACGCAGCCGCCCGCCGAAACGAGCGCCTCTCTCCTCTCTAAGATAGAGAGATCCCCCGATCTCCTCTTCTTATATAACATATATATATATATATATATGATGATATATAGCGGAGAGAGAGAGAGAGAGAGAGAGAGAGAGAGAGAGAGAGAGAGAGTTTCGGTGAGTCTGAGTCCTCTTTCTTGTATCTTCTAGTTGGGTGGGTTTTGGGCCATGTCTGCTCGATTTCACTTGCCAGCTCCGACTCGGCAGCCGACTTCCTCGGCGAGTCGGCAGCCGACGGCAGCCGAGGCTGGAGGAATGCGTGACGCCAGCCTGGCGCGCCCGGCGCAGCGGCGGAGCTGGAGGCGGAGGCGCTGGCCTGCCATAACCCTGCGCGACTTCCCGCCTTCCCCGAGAGGAGACGGAGACGCTCATCACGTGCATTCACGTTGTTTTTTTCATATGTTTTTTCTCTGGCACGCACACACATGTGGCAGCCCCCCCGATATTGACCCAAGCGTGCAGAAGTTCAACATCGATGCCACTTTTCTGCCGAAGTACATGCTCCGAGGGGGAAGAGAAGCACATCGACTCAACGGAAAAGTAGTATAGTAGCTCAACACCGCGATATTTGCTCCATATGTAAATATAGAAAGCCGAACACCAACAATCAAGCTGAAACATCAAACGACACAAAAACGACAAACACCGATAGCAACAAATCATAGCACCATCTTGTTTTTCTTGTGTGTGTGTGTGCTTTTTGGGGTTTCTGGTTCTTGGGTTGTGCGCAACCATACGTGGTCCCCCTCCTCCCGCTGACAGACCACCCCCTCTATCAACCACTCAACCGAAGACAACAACTCAAAAGCAACAAAGACCCTCGGAGAAGGCCAGAACTGCATTGATTATGGCTACTTCAACCCATAGAGACCGAATCTAAAACAGCAAAGATCCAGGGAGAATGCCGGAACCATGTTGTCGTCCTTTTTTGATTGATCTTATTGTTTTCATGTGTTTTTTTGGTCAGGCTTCTCCGAGTGCAATGGCGAAGTTGCACTGTATAAGAAAGCCACGTAAAATCCAGCAGAAAAACCACGAAACACATGTCAAAATGTCAAATAGCAGTTTCAAGCACAAAACAATTACACCATTCTCTCGATCTTTGTTTTTGTGTTTTTTGGGTCTCGTCCTCCGTTTTTGGTGTTGTGCGCCTGCGCTTTTACCGGAAATTCCATACGTGAAACCTGAAACCCTATACACAGTTCGTGTTAGGATTCAACAATATTGGCTTATGTAAGAATGCTCGCTACAGGCTTTTGAAGGGTCTTTCTTGAACGACCAAGTACCAGTAACCGTAGCCGTTTCCGAACAAATTAATTCATCCAGTTCATGTGCTTAGACATGCCCATCTGTGCAACCGGGGTTGCTGAGCATTACACATGTCTAGCAACTACAGGCATGTTGCAGAAGTATCATCATCCATATGGTTTTTACTAGACCACATCGATCGTTCTCTGGATGGTTGTTTCTTCCGTGATTCTTAGCCTTTTCAAGCCGAGCTCATGGTTGCGTTTAATTTGCCGTCATCGGTGTTTGACAGACACCACAGAGACACTTACATTCATGTTCAACATTGTTCATCTGTTTTGCAGTCTTTTACATTAACGGTGTTTCATTATAACCAAATACTTCATCATTTCATTTAGTCATGCAACAGCAAGCCGTATTGCTTAGATAACTGTCGGTATAATCGTATTCTTAACATCATTACCCCACATTCGCACAACAATTCAGCAATAGCTGCAATAACAGCTGTGCGTAGCAATTCTTGACCCATGAGTATGATTGTACGTGTTCGGTATATTTTCGTGAAAGTAAAGTCGTCATACTATCCAATCTTCACTTCCGTATGCATAAGTTATCGAATTAAATGTATAGTCAACTACTGCAGTTTTACTATCGCGTTATAGTCACCTTTTCCATATCCATATCTCTGTTACTGTGGTTATAGTTAGCGTTCTGCCTGCTTCAGAATTCCAGCCCAGTGTTCACTCTGTAGGGCCTCATTTCGAGTTTTCTGAGTTACTAATGGGTGCATTGTTCAACAATTGGTGCGCACATGTTGTGCATCAGTTGATGAGCCCAATGTGTATTCACAGTCTGATAGGTATGTAACTACCACGTCATTTGAACATTCACACCTGTGTTTCCACAGAATGATGGGCTAGTCCGGACATGTGGCTGTTTACTGAACTGTGTATTTCGTTTGGTTGGGACAGGGCTTGCCCCGATACCAAACACTTTGCACATTTATTCTGTTTTAGTGCATGCTAAGCTGCTAAGTCTGTGCATCAGTTGCAGCAAGTCATGTCCATTCCTGTCTTTTTGCAAGGTTGTTTTAAAAGTTACACCTAGCAAATCATGACCATGAGAAAAAATCATGTGTGTTACAATAGTGTTGTGAACCTCCGTCATTGTACTCATCAGTGCTGTCCTACGGGCCCCCGTTAAAGCCATAAATGAAACCACATCAGTCACAGACCCCCCATGAAAACACAAAGCACACACCGCGAACAAACATACGTATGTATCTGTTGAAGCGTGCAATTCAAGCCAGCAGGGTTTTCGTATAGCTTGAGTTTTCCCATAGTCGATTGTCGACAAAGACGACATTTCCGTACTTAGTTTGAAGACGAAAGCAATCAAATTGATTGATCTTGCCACAAGTCTTAGTTTGCTATGGCTCCCGAGGCTTCTGAGTGTAGTGTATACAGTATTTTTGCACTCGAGCTTTTTTCCAACTTCATGGAACGTGCTGGAAATGTTCGTAAAATCAACATTTTCCATGATTTGTCTTTGGGGAATGATGGAAGCTGTTGGTTTTGTCAACATTTCCAACAGTTTCCATGATTCCCGAAACTACGGCTCGGGCCCCCGAGGCTTTTCCAAATTCATAGAAATTGTGGGAAATGTTGGCAAAACCAACATTGTCTGTGGTTTGTCTGTGAGGAATCATGGAAATTGTTGGTGTTGTCAACGTTTCCACCTATTTCCATGATTCCCGAAACTACGGCTCGGGGCTCCCCGAAGTTTTCCAAATTCACGGAAATGGTTGGAAGTTGGAAATGTTGGCAAAACCCAACACTGTCTATGGTTTGTCTGTGAGGAATCATGCAAACTGTTGGTGTTATCAACGTTCTGTGATTAAAAGAAGAGAAAACACGCACTCCCTTCGTTCGTTTGTTTTTCTCTCTTTTAATGCAACACAAAGAGGTGAGACAGAAATGAGGCGTGACTGGTGCTGGTGTAGGTTGATCTGGGTCTTTTGCTTGGGTCCTTTGTTCGTGTTCTTTGTTCACCATTTTCCATGATTCCGAAACTACGGCTCGGGGCTCCCCGAAGTTTTTCCAAATTCATGGAAATTGTTGGAAATGTCGCTAAACCCAACATGTTCTATGGTGTGTGTGTGTGTGTGTGAGGAATCATGAAAATTGTCGGTTTTACCAACATTTCCACCAATTTCCATGATTCCCGAAACTATGGCTCCGGCTCCCGACATTTCTTCAGCTTCATGGGAATGGTTGAAAATGTTGGTTTCGCCAACAGCGTCCGCAGGTACATATTTCAAGACGGTGTTACCGAAATTTGCGACTGAGCAGATCTTACGGACTCGCACGAGGTGTTTTCCAAACAAGCCGGTAAGGCATTTGCCTTCTTGATGAAACCCCCTAGTTGGTCCAACACGGAGCTAGGTAATAATCTCCGCTTGAAGAAGCTACTGTGGGAACACCGGTTCATGGTTTTCGGTTTATCACGTACAAAGCTACACTTCATGTCGAAGATTCAATACTTGATTATAGGAAAGCTATTGCTGCACGGACATGCTTATACTGATACTGGCTTAATCACCCACTTCTTATGATAGATGTATAAAGCATTTACTTATGTTGCTTGGTGTTTGCAGGCGGGTCTTTGGTCGTTGTGTTTGTGTACTCTTCGGTGTGGCTCTGGTGCTTACAAAAAAGCGCGAGCCCTTATTCAACAGATTATCATTTGCACCAGAATTCTGGCATACATCGTTGTCAACTTGTCATCATTCGGTAGTTGCAGAGTTTGGGAAACGATTCTGCGACCAATAAAATGGATCTTACATGTATGACGCACACACTTTTGATGAACCGAACTCGGATTAAACATGTCGAAATCGCCTGGCGTGAAAAGCTAGCAAACTCGACTAATAAACCACGACATACAACCTAGCGTGTAATACGCAGCCACGGCGTGTTTGATTATGTTAAACTTGGAACACTAACAACCCACTCTCAGCAGGTAAAAAACAGCAAACGTGTCACTTGGTTAACCATCACCCTACCAAGAAGCTTTACAAGCACAGGTGTACGTATTCACCTGGTACTGTCTGTTAGGTTTATACTTAGCTTATAGCAATATGTATAAAACACAGGACTCAGCAAGTACTACATTTACCTGACAATGCTTGGTTATTATTAAGCAAGCTTCCTGAACAAGATACGAAGTACTCTGAATGAACAATCACAACAGTAGTTGACACAGCAAAACATGACGCAGAAATTATAAGCAAAAACAGTATGTGCATGGTGTTAAATGGCTGGGTATTCATGAAGTATGGTACTGATAACCACAGTAACAGGAATAATGGTAATTGCAAAAGATGTGAGAACAACACCCTGAGAGGTCATACTAAAGCCACACTTGATATTTTGAATTCGACATAGACAGCATAAAGACGAACACCTGGGTACCTGAGGCGGGGTAGCATATACAACGCTGCGTTCTGCGCTTCTTCGCTTCCTGTTCCTCCCTCTATGTAGAGACTTTGTTGGCTCAGCCCTGGCTGCTGCTTTGGGCCTGGAGCGGCTCCTGGACGGAGCTTTTCTCACTTTGGAGTCTTGGCCCTAAGCAGCGTCCTTCCATGACAGCATGAATGTCTGCTGTCTCTGTGTCACTGTGTGGCTGTCGCAGGCACCACGGCATCCAGAAGGCTTGGCAGGGCGACTTCTCGGCTGGCTTGTTTGCGGCTAGGCCAGCACTGCCAGCACACCGCAGGGCTCCGTCCTGAACGTGGTGCGGAAGGTCCCGCAGCCAGAAGAGGCTTCAAGAAACGGCGCCGCTTATTCGGCTGCTTCGGCGGTCGGAGGGCAACCCCAGCCCCAGTCGCCCCAGCCGCCCCAGCCGCCCCAGCCTGGCGGACAGCTTGAGCTGAACGCCACTTTCCCTTCGTCCGCGCTGGCTCAACGCTCCCCGGGGAGCACCCCGCCGGGCCCACAACTGGATGCGCTGAATGACTTGGAGCTGCTCGTGCTCCTCAGGCCGAACATGGAGCGGAGGATCATAGTGACATCAGAGCCTGTGCGCAGAGGTCCATGTATGTCATGTAGCCAGTCTGAAGATGCTTCTGGTTGATTTTGCTAGTATGTCTGCCTGCACATGCATGCACATCACTGTCTGACTCTCAAGACGTCTAGATCCGTGTTTGTGTACATGCCCGTGTTGATGTATCCTATGAGCATCTTGCAGGACGTAATGAAGTTGTTGAGGCATGCAGAGCATGAATCGCAAAGCTTTCTGTGGACTTGGTTTCGCTGTTTCAGCCTTTGTTCTTAGCTGCGCCTCCTGCACCATGGGCCCGATGCGGGAGCCCGGCAGAGATCTTGGCGGAGGCGACCGTTATGTAGAATCAACGAAATCCGCCTTTCGGTCTCGATGAGAGCTCGGCAGAGGACGTGGGGAGCCTTCGCCAGCCACTGACAGGAGCAGAATAGGGCAAATTGCATGCGCATGAGGTGGATGATTGTCGATTCCAGTCAGCAGTCAGGACTGATGCGCCATTGGTCGTCGGGTCCCGAGAACGACAAGCATTGAGATGCTGGAAGATCCCGAACCAGCCAGAGAGACTTCTAGGGCAAGAGCGACAATCTGCACACATCTTCGCTCTCACTCGCTCGCGCATTTACTCACTCTGTTACCAGTAAGTGACATGAGCCCAAAAATGCACCTAATGAACATGAAGCATCTAATGAATGCTCTGATGCCGAATGGCATTGGCTCAAGATCGGCCTGACGGCTCGACGTCCAAAGGACTGTCTGCTCGTTTGATGCACTGGGGAAAGTGGTTCATTGTGGTTGCTCGGTAACTGTAGATTGTTCCATTGATGTTTACAAGGTGGCGGAGCTCCGGCTCTGGAACCGGGGAGTGAGAGGATGGACTTCGGAGTGAGAGGAATCGGAGGTGAGATTAACTGTTCCCACCTCCAGTGTACTACGGAGAAGTGAGAGGACTGGTCATGGCAGCTGAAGCGATATGTCGGACTGTACATGCCGGTCGCGCAAATCATGATGGATGGCGTCGAAGGATCCCCCGTGTGAGTCATAATGATTTGTGTGAGGCGTTTGATGTTCAGCAGAGGCGATCGCAGAATAACCATTTGTCACTGTTCTCACGACAAATGGCGTAGAATATGCTGGCACAAAACACTGATGGTGCCGCTTAAGCGCAGAATGAGAAAACTGTGGCAGTGAGCGAGGCAAAACTGGCTGCACAGGCAGCGTCACACGACGTCAGCAATGCGGCGAACGAAGCCCAGAGGATACGCCTGGTCGCCCAACGTGAACATTGCAGCCTTCAAGAACGTCTCAGAGAAGAAGAATAAGAATTTCCGCAGCGGCCGTACAAAGGATGCATGAAGCAAAGGGGCAACTTCGGCATTTCAAGAACAGTGCTACACAAACTTTACCCACAATGCACGAGGAGTTGAACGAGCTGAAGAGAGCATTGAAAAGTCAAGAAGAGCTGCAAGCTATAGGATGAAGTGAGCTCGAAGCCTCACGACAGCTACCTCAACAGGGTTCTCAACAGACTTTGAGTATGCCGATTTCGTCAAGGACAACTGAGTCGGGCTGGGAATGCATAGAAATAGGGTTCAGGCTTTTCCAATCGGAACGGATGTACGATCCCCTCCTGAAAAACGTACTCCATGTCAGAGAAGCCTTGGAACCTCTGTTGCTTGATTCCTGTAGCCTGGTGTTTGTTTCCTGTAGCCTGGATTTGGGTTGTTGTTTTGACATGGAAGGTGCTGGGGGGGGCCGTTTGGGATGTTAGGGCTTTGTTGTGTCATGCTTTATGCGACCCCTGGGGACAGAGGGGGAAGGGGAGGCAGGACGGCCGAAAAAAGGTGATCAGACTTTGGAAGCATCAAGGAATATTTGCATCCCAGATTTTTACATCATGCGAAAATTTCATACATCCCTAGGGCTTCAGCGGTATTTTGTGTCCATTTCTCAGTGGCAGTAACATTTTGGACCTAGCAAAAAAATGCACTCCACTTCCATATGTGATGACATCATTAGTAGAGTAACTACATCACATGTGGCAGGGTGTGCATTTTTTGATAACAAGCATAATTAACATTCTTACACCCTAAGCCTTTAAACATACTTTACTTTACTTTAATAAGACTACCGAAACCCTGTTTTGGAAAGCTCACATCTGAAGCAACTCCCGAAACCTTACTGTGAACCCTAAACCCCTTCAACCGAAACCTCTTACCTCTATAGGAACTCCCTGAAATGAAACCTTCTTACCCTTTAAACCCTAGTGATACCCCTTCAACTTGAACCTCTGACCTCTATAGGAACTCCCTGAAACCTTACCGTTTAAACCCTAAACCTCTTAATCCTAAACTTCTTACCTCTAAAGAAACTCGCTGAACCTTGGCCTTATAAGCCCTAAACCCCTTAACCCTTAATCTCTTTGACGAGCCTTACAGAACATTTTAAATTCTTTGTCCCCCCTGTCAGATCATTCAGCAACGGGGGAGCTTTGTCATCCAGGCCTCAGGAGTTCATGCATGCATTTCAGTGTTGGTTTCATGTCATGCATGGCCGCTGCTCAAGTGGCACACATCATGGCCGCTGCTCAAGTGGCGCACGGCATATCACGACACAGCCACTGATCAAGTGGTGCGCACATGGCCGCTGTTCAAGTGGCACATGACATGACATGCATGCCTGCCTCTGGCTGTCTATTATTTTGATATTGTTATTGTTATTGCTGCGCTGGTCTTCCATATCAATCTAACTGCCATGGCTCGTCTGGCTATCATTATGGTCGCCCTCGTTGCATTAGCGCTAGTCTTAGTCTGGTTGTCGTTATTTCTATATTTATGTTGTGCTAGTCTTAATGCTGCTGCTATTTTGACCCCTTGTTGTTGATGGCACTGCTGGTGTTGCTGCTGTTGCCATTGCTGTTGGTGTTCCTATGACAGCAACAGCACAACAGAAACGACGATACTACAAAGAAGTAAACAACACCGACAACAACATTAGCACTGCAGCCTCCACCTGTAACGAAACCATCAACAAGCGGCTGTAACAACAATCACCCGACCTTTGTACTCAACATCCGGCAACTCTGCAACCAAAAGTTTCCAATAGCTAGCTACACCGTGCCATGCCACCAACAACACCCAGCAGCAGCAACAACAACAACAGCAACAACAACAACAGCGACAACAACAACAACAACAACAGCAAGAGCAGCACTAACAATAACAATAACAATAACACTGACAATAAAACCAACAATGACAATAACAATGACAACGACAATAACAATGACAATGACAATGACAACAACAACAACAACAACAACAACTAACAACAACGATAACAACAACCACAACAACAACAACACCACCAACAACAACAACAACAACAGCAACAACAACAACAACCACAGTAACACCATTAACGACAGCAGTAGCAATAGCAGCAGCAACAACACCAAACACATTAACACTAACAACAACAATAACAACAAAAACCCACAACAACAACAACAACAACAACCACAACCACAACCACAACCACAACCACAACCACAACAACAAGAACAACAACAACAACCACAACAACAACCACAACAACAACAACAACAACAACCATCAACAGCAGCAGCAACAACACAACACCAACGACACCGACAACGACGAGAACAGGAGCAACAACAACCACAGCAGCAAAACCGCAGCTGACAGCAACAAGCACAAGACCACAGCAACAAACAACATCAGTAACAGTGACGACGACAGCATCAACAACAACACTAACGACCACGACAACAACAGCGACAACACTAAACTCAAGGCAGCAACACTGAACAATATCACAAGCCCACACAGCCACGGAGCAACCCCAATCGAACCGGCCCCACCTGAAGTCTCAACCCCCCCCCCTCCAAACGTGCCGGCGCCCTTCCAGTGCAGATGGTGCCGGCCTCAGTGCATTGGCGATTCAGGATTTGGTTTAAAGTCAGTTCGCATGGAGTGCACGCAGAGTGCATGCTGGCAATTTCAAGATCAGTTTTCCCTGTCGAGTGAACTGGCATCTCAAAAACGTGAAACTCTTCACTAAAATCCTGAGATTCAGGGAATTTGAAACTCAGTGAATCTGAGACTCAGCCCTTTTTCTTTCTCTTTGGCGCAGCAGATTCCTGTTCAGGCCCCATCATCCACATCATCCAAGACAGCAGTTGACGACCCCGAGAAGCCCTGGCCTCGGACGGCGGGTTGAGTTGCGCAGCTCGCTTCTGCAGAAGTACCTGGCATGTGCACACTCGAGAGGTGAAGGGAGACTAGAGGGCAAGCCACTGAAAGACTTCTTTCAGGGGCTCGCCCTCTAGTCTGCCTGCACCTTTCAGTGTTAGGTATAATTCCCGGTGACAGTCGGCCTCCAATGCATCGTGTTGTGTCTTCAGCTCCTGGTACTTCTTTTGTTCAGCCTGCCATCCATTATGAGACAATCAGCGGAATATGCTTAATGGGCTTCTAGATAGAGTGTTTATCACTTGCAGCGCCTCCAGTTGCTTTTTGGCCACAGTCGCCTGGCGTTTGGCTTTCTTTTCTCCAGCTTCTGCATTTTGACCACGTTGGATCCAGTTCTGGTGCTCCGTTGCGAACTTTCCGTTTGCATCCACATACCTCTTGTTGCAGGCCTCGAGGTCCGCACATTTCTTCTGCTCCGTCTCCTTTGCTTTCTTCTCCACACTGATCTGCTCTCTCAAGTTACTGACTGCGGTTGCCAGCCTTTGGTCATAGCGTTTCTCCGCTTCAGATGCATCCACTTTTGCCTGAAGCTGCAGGTTCTTCACCGCCAGATCGTATTGTTTCTTGGCTTCCTCCAACTTCTCCTCATAATGCTCCTTTGCTTCCTGCAGTCTCTGCTCGTGCAGCTTCTTTTCGGTTGCAAGCTCTTCCGCGAGCTGCTCCTCTCTTCTGAATTTTTCTTGCCGCCGAAGATAGGATCCATCTCTTGGTGTAGATGACACCTTCACCTTGGCTGCCGGTGGCGGTGGCGTCGGCATCCACGTGGGTGTTGCTTCAGCAGGACCCGGTGAGGTCTTTGGTGGGGGATCCGGTGGGGGACCCGGTGGGGGGCCCGGTGGGGGGCCCAGTGGGGGCCCCGGCTTGGGATCCGGAGGAGTAGCCGGAGGCGGAGGTGGTGGAGGCGTGAACATCTGTGACTCTGAGAGTCTGGGACCCTGAGAATCTGTGACTCTGCGACTCTGAGAGTCTCACAGACTGGCCATGTGTGAATCTGAGAGCTAGAAGAAAAGTCTAGAAATGTTGGAATTCTGAGTGTCAAACATGCGAATGGTTGTGCATGCTTGTCGTGTGACTGACGATCATGACTTTGCTGTTGTCAATTAGTTGTGTCGTGCTGGATAAGATCTTCGTCAGTTGTAAGCGCCTTCAGAGCCAGCTGATGATCATGTCTCAAACACATGTCTTCAGAGCAATGTGCAGCATGACTGCATGTGGCCACTCAGGTCTGGGCCCACACCAGGCAGGCCAGGCAGGACACCTGCCACATAAAGGGTCTGGGAGGATTAAGGAGGGAGTTCTTCGGGTTGGGTTGTTTAGGGTGTGGGGTCTTGGGTAGTCAGGCTTTGAGAACAATATCAACAAGCAAATTAAATATGAACTGGGTAGACAACACACAATGACAAGCCTGACTACCTCGAGAATAGATAGTTTATATCAGTTTCGAAGATGCACACCGACCACATGTGATGCCATCCGTGTCCTGCTAAGATTAGCATAACAATAGACTGGACATGGATAGCATCACATGTGGTCGGTGTGAATCTTTGAAAAGGGTCACTTTAAAACTAGCACTCGTGCCGAGGCACGAAGTACGACAGTGTATGCTAGCGCTAGTATCCCTGTTGGAAACATCGAAGGTGTTTCGCTAGAAAACGTCGAAGGGGTTTTCCTCTGAAGCTAAACAGAACGAAGCTTGTCTGTTTGCTAGAGTGACTGCACATGGCCGGTGAAGCATGCGCTACTCCGTGGCCATTGTGCTGAAAGGCCCCCAGCTACTGGGGGGCAATTTTCGAGTGGGGGTAGGAAGGGGAACAGGGCTAATTAGCCCTGCTTTGGGTGCGCTGCCATGTCGGACAGCGACGCTACCCTGGCGCCGACCACGCCAGATGGTGCAGCTGCTACAGCCGTCGACTGCGCTACCCCCGCTAAGTTCTTCGTGTCCAACCGAGGTTCCCACGGAGCTAGGGGGGACGACACCGCGGGGGCTCCCTCCGGGGAGGTACCCTCGTGGGTCCCGCAGACGCTTGTGACCCACAGCCCGAAGAGACGGGAGTGCTCTTCGAGGGCTGGGAGGTGGAGGCAGAGCTAGATGCGCAGGCTACGGTCCAGCAAACGTAGGCGCACGCTAGACAGGGCCTACCGGCACCTCTCCAGCCAAGGGTTTGGGGTCTTGGAGCTAGCAGTGGTGGACCTGGACGACGCGGAGGACGTCGCCAAGCAGAGAGCTAGGTATTCCTTACCAGCCGTGGCTATGGGATGGCGTTTACTGCTGGCTACAAGAAGCGCGGCAGGAAGCTACAGTTTACCAAAGGGTGCATGGCTACTTCCAGGATGACATCACCTGGAGAGCCCGGATGCCACCGCTACCGGCTCCAAGAGAGGGGGCAGAAGAAGCTACGCACCAGCCCACGGTGCCGCTAAGACCTCCCCCCGGGGAGCGGAACCGAAAGGTGCTACAGCCCTGCACGATTAGTGCCGCTAGGGAAGAGCGACTGCTGGAAGTTTGGGCAAGGAAGCTCCGTGAGGAGCTGCTAGAGATACACGCCCCTGTTCTCGCTAAACTGCGGGAGTCTGGATCCCGTACGGGCAGCTATGTTGCTCCCAGGGAAGACACGGGCTTCTACCTTGAAGCGCTACCTGAGCTACTACAGGCAGTGGCGCCAATGGCTCCACGCTGCTAGGCTCAGGCCGCCTCCGGGCACCGCCGCCGACCTCCTCGCTAGGAGCGACGAAACCTTGCGGCCGGTCGGTTCCGGAAGCTATTCTCAAGGCTATCTCCTGGATGGAGAAGGTGGCCGACTTCCCGGTCGAGCTACGGACCACCTTTGGCCGCCTGGTCTGGGCCGCTAAGGACAGCATAGTGGAGCAGCTAGCAGAGGGAGCCCCCTTGATCAAGAGGGCTCCGCGCTACCCCGTCTACATGCTGGTGCAGCTAGAGCTGGTGGTGGTCAATCATCCCGCCCTGGCTGTGGGCTGGCGCGTCTGGGCCTGGGCTAAGTTGGTCAAGGTCTGGGCCACGCTAAGATGGTCGGACCTTCAGGCTATCCTGCCAATCGCTACCTATGCGGACGCTATGGTGGCAACTGCGGGGCTGCTGGCTATCATGGGCTACCCCCGGGAGGTCCAGGGCTATTGGACGGAGCACAGTGAGCGCTCGGTGCTACCAACGGGTTTGGCGCTAAAGGAGATACCGCCGCAGGAAGGATCTGCTAGGGGGTTGGAAACCCGAGGGGTCCGACGTGTACGCTAGATCCTTTGCGGGTAGGGTCCAGCCCGAGCCGGGGCAGGGCTAGGAGTCCGGGCCGGGGCAAGGGCAAAGACGCTAAGGGCAGGGGCCAGTCCGACGGCAAAGGCCCGCCGCCCGCTAACATCAGCATCTTCGAGTACACGTGGGGGATGCTATTCGATGACCCCGATCGCTACCTCGAGCTGCTGCCCCGCTCGCTGGATCTCCCCAATAGCGCTCTCCCGGAACCAAGAGGCCCAATACCAGGCTTTTGTTAGGTCTCGCAAGGCCGCAAATCCAAATGCCACGCGGTTTCGCGGTCCAGCTGGGCACGAAACATGCGCCCACGGGAGCCCGCCGGCGCCCAGGAAACGGCGGCAACGGAGCAGCCTGCTACAGCAGCTGCCTCCAGCGGGCGGACTCCCCCGCCACCCCCGCCACGGCGGGAGGCCAAGGCAGGCACCAGCGCGACGGCCGCGCCCACGAACCCGGTGCCAGTGCCGAAAAAGTGCCCACTCCCGCAAGGCCGACGATGGCCCCGAGCCGGATCCAGGCCATGAGGGCATGGAGGAAGAGCCGGCCGCCTGGGTTCGCAGGACAGTGCGCCGCACAACCGCTTGCAGGCAGCACCTGGGCGACCGCTCTCGGAGGCTCCGATCTCCGCGGAGGAGCCACTAAGGTCGTTGCTTCTGGGAGGGGGTTGGGAAACCATAACGAGGGTTCAGGGTAGGTTCAGACCCAGACCACGTTTGGGTTGCGTCCGTGTTGAAACCTGTCGTTTCTGGCTCTGGGCCTCTGCGACTGTCGAAGTTAGTTGATTAGTCGCAGTTGAGAAGCTCAAAGACCACTGCTTTTTTTTGAAAACCAATTTTTTTCTAGTTTGCAACTTGGCTGCTAGTGGTTTGGCTCGAATAGGTGCTCATGTGCAATTTCCATGTATGCCTGAGAGGTACAACTGCTGCAAAATACACATTGTCACCTTAAACCCTATACCCTAAACCCTAACCCTAAATCCTAAACCTTGAACGTGTTGTTGAAGCTGTTTTGTCGTGCTTTTGCATGCCCTGGCCGACGTTCGAACGTGTTGTTGAAGCCGTTTGCCGTGCTTTTGCATGCCATGACCGACTTCTTAGAGCTGCCTACTACTTTCGGGTTGTCTCGGAGCAGCCGGAACGAGGAGCGTAGCAAGTTGAAGCACAAGCTGCCGAAATGGCTGCTTCTGTACGTGGTCACACCAGAGGCTGACGGCCACGATGCAGAAGTGCGTTTGGCTTGCAGAGCCACACGGGTCGTGGAGCACGTTGGCACAATGAAGCCAACGGATGCCCAGGAATGCCAGATTTGGTTTAACAAGGGCGTGAAACCGACACAACGAAAGGGTGAGGTCTCGAAAACACAAAGCATGTCTTTTTGTGCCTGGAAGTTTGACAAAGTCTTCAGGTTCCGGGAGCCTGTGTGTGTAGAACGATCACAAATTGCTGGGAGACAACTGCAAAAAGTCAGCAACGTCAGTGCGGATGTTTGGCATCTGTGCTGGGCTTCGAAGGGCTGCCAACTGATGCCATCTCTTCCCGAAGAGAAACGGTTTTCAGACTTGTCTCCGGCGAAAGGGTGGCTTGTGCAAGTTCCAGGGGCTATGGCGTTGCTTGGCAGTGAGACCATGCCCTCCGAGCCAATCTTGTGGACCCCAGCATCTGTGGCAGCCAGCCTGCATGTCACTGTTGAGAAGGAGTCACCTTCTCTTGTTGAGGCAGCAGAAGCTGAGGCCGAAGCTGGAGCAGCTCTAGCAGGGCGGGTTGCGGGCATGAGGCTGCAACCGATACAGGAAATCCACACCATCCGATTGACTTTTGCGCTTCAGAATAGCTCAGATCTTCCTGTAGTTGTGAACTCAGTGATTCGGTTTTTAGGCCCCTTCATAGGGGACCCGGATCCGACAAAGCTAGCAGCAGCGATGGCCTCTATTCCCGGGCGTTACATGCTTCGCTCCGGGATGCTTAAACTAGATATGCTGCACATGCGCTTCAGGCGAAGCGTCATGCAACAAGGCCTCGCTCAGCAGATGCGCATAGCCCGATACCTCAGCATGGATGCTTCACCTCAAGGCGGGTATGAGTACTTGTGTATGACGGAGGAGGTAATGGAACGTAGTCAACCCGTCGTCCTCCCCGAGTGTCCATTCAGCGGCTTCACCTACACACAGAGAACAATGCCCATCATGACATTAGCGAGGGGAGAGACTAGGACATTCGTCAAGGCACAGAGGCTGAAGCATGCAATCTGCTTGGAGAGTTCCTTGAAGCATCTGGATTTGTACAGGTCACAAGTGAAGGGGTGGGTGAGTGATCAAGGAACAGAGAAAGCTGTGCCTCAGACATTTCTCGGTGATTCTGCCCAGTTGCAAGATATGACTTCCAGCTTGCAGGATGGTAGCCCCACTTTGGAGGCGATGCTGGCATCCAGCAAGCAATCGTTTCTCTGGAACAGTTATTGCGGCACCCCGGGTATCTGCACATCATGTTCAATGCCCTGGAAGAAACTTGCAAAGGCTGCCCTCGATGGGAGGTTTTTGAAAAGCAGCTGAGCAGTGTTTCCAAACTGCTGACGAATCGCTCCTATCGCGAGATAGTCTTGTATCGCATGTGATGTCTGAGGCTACTCAGCAAGAGAAGCAGACAGTGCAAGGCTACCACGGCGAACTCCTATCATGGAGATGGGAGAGCTTGCATCATACGTTGCGGCATTATGTGCACGTGCGACCGGTTCTGCAGAAGTACCTGAACCCCGAAATGCTTTCTTCGGAGGCCGGTTTCATAGACCACCTGAGTGCTTTTTTGTCGGATCCATGGCACCAGGGCTACGTAGAGTGGGCATTGATGTTTTCCGGGTTTGTGCAGACGTGGGCCCATTGGCTTGAAGGTTGTTTCTGCCACGAGGAACAGCTTCAGCAAGCCAGGACTCGCAAGGCCCGGGACAAACTGAAGTGTCCATGGAAGGGTCGCCGTACTTCCGTGCTCATTGCTGGGTGCAAGGATCGGATGTTGCAAGCTTTGCAAAGTCACGGAAGTGCTCGCTTCAAAGAGGCCATGCTCGAGTTGCCGCAGGAGGTTTCAGCCGCCATGGTTCTGATGAACTCCCAAGCTCGAGACAAGTGGTCAGCTGTGCTGTCACAGAAGACGTCTTACCTTGATCATGTGCCGCACAAGTTGGCCGGTGCTTTCGCTCACCTCGCCGATCCTGGTCGCTACTCTTTGTCAGGAAGCAAGCGCATTGTGCAGGAATGCTTTGCAGAGTATGTGACTTTGAAGTCCCAAGGGCGAACAACTGCTCTCCTTTCAGGGCTTTTTGAGCGAAGTGGCATGGGCGAGACGGCGGACCAGCTGTGGGCATATGCCAACAGCCCAGACACCAAACAGCTGAGAGACTTCCCCTTGGCTTGGGTGGAGGTTCAGGAGAGGGCCTTTTGCACGAATGTAGAGCGGATGACGGAACGGCAACACGTCTTGGTTAAGATAGCAGGCCACAGGACTTTGAGGTTCGCAGGCCCTGCCATGACCTGTGTGCGTGCCCGGCGAGATCAGCTGCAGCAAATGATCGACGACCCCCAAATGTGTGCGTTCTTGGTTTCGAACTGGCGACGTCGTACCATTTTCAGAGAACTGCTTGAACACGTGATGAGTGCCAAGGATTGCAATAAATCCAGCTTTGCTCATCGTGTGAGCCGTATCTACGGCTACCACGAAAAAGACCATTTCCTTGATGAAATGGAAGAGGAAGAGAAGTCTGGGTTGGCCCTGGGGAATGCCGTGGCGGGGGCATTGAGAGACGTGGGTTCTGTGAGACCTCACTTGGAGAAGCAACAGTGGATGATGGTTGATTTCATCAAGAGCCAACTCCCCACTGGCACCGTTTTCTCTCTTCCTGAGTTCCTGTTGGGGAGTCTGCTCGGCGAACCGCTGCCGGAGTCTCAGGAACAACACGGTCCTCTGGACTTGGAGGGCTTTGCCGATTCATTGTTGCCAGGGGACATTCCAGAGCTTGTTGCTAGAGAACATGTCTTTTGCTCTGTGCTGGATGCTTGGCCAGAGCGACGGACCGAGGTGCAGACTCTGAGAGCCATTGGTAACGACCGCAAGGGGCACATGAACGTCGTTCATTTTTTGAATGTGAATCTTAGCAATGCTTCACAGCCTGTGGTGTCCTATAAAAATGTGCAACATCGAACCCTGGATTTCAGTCATGTTGCGACACTGCCCTTTCTGAAGCTCTTCTCGTCATTGTGCCACGTTTGGGGTCCTCGCTGCAAGTCCTTCAAGGTGGAGGTGCTGCCACTGAAGGACCAGGCAGCAAGGATGTCGTCTGAACTGCCTGTGACCTTGCCGCAATTCACGACCGACGACGACATGCTGGCCGATCTAGCCGGGCAAGCAATCGAAGACCAGGAGTTGCGTCTCCGTGAGCCAGGCGATGGCCCAGACGTGGGAGCTGGGCTGTCCACTGCCCAGGAGGAGAGCATGCTGAACCAGTTGTTGAAACACAGGGCTATAGGGGATAAGTTCGTCGAGTCTTCTACCTTGAAAGAGTACCACGGCCGAGCTGTTCAGAGCTTGGTTGAGAAGGGAGTAGTGCAGGTTCGGTGGGATGATTTCGGCGAGTCATCTCTGGCTATGAGCAGCGATATGAACTTGTCGACGTTGCTGCTCTTGACAGAGCCTGAAGTTTTCGCTGTTCACAAGCAAGACCTGAGCAACCCTGCAGGCCGTAACAAGGTCGGATGGTTGAGAGGACTCCTGGTCAAATCTTGGAAGCCTAGGGGCAAAGACAAAGATCCAGAGTGGAGAGTCAAGGGCAGCCGGAAGCTGCTGCCTGCCAACCTTCTGGATTCCTGTGAGCTTCACCTTGTTTGTTTGGCACTGGAAGACAGCATTTGGCAGAAGCCTGGCGATCTGCGAAGGATCTGTCATGGCGGCAGTGCTGACTACTACCAGATGCCACGAAAAGCACCGGACTTGACAGGTGTCCAGGAATGGACAGTGCAGCAGTGCCGTGAGTTTCGGGACAAGAAACGAAAGGCAACACGTACTGCTCCACGTCATACTGGCAGCGGGGCGAAAGCAAGCACCCAAGAGCCATTGCGACTCGCTCTGGAGCTTCCCGTTGAGCCTCGTGTGAAATGCCGGGTGGCGGGGCTCGAAGATCTCGTCATCTATTTTGACAATTTCACACACCAGAGCGGCCACCGTCGTGCTTTTTGCCAGTGTTTGCAACATGCCGATTGCAGACGATACACCTTTGTGAAAAATCACAGGGACCAGGATGAGGCAGTTGCGTGGCTGTTAGCATGGGCTTCCTCTGGGCCCCGTTTCGATGATGCAGAAGAGCACGTGAAACACAACCCCAGTGACACTGCTGTGCAATCCATGGAGGAAAGGCAGCGGTTGGGGGTCTGACCCGGCAGACTGCTACCAGTCGCCGCGTCTCAGCCTGGTTCGCCTTCGGCAGATTCTCAGAGCCGGTCGTTCTGCAAACCAAGAGAAAGAGAGTAGTGACTGCCTGCAGCCCCACAGTCTAGGTTTTGACCCGAGTTTGACAACAGCATATCTTGTCTGAGCCTTTTGTTTGTCTTGTCATTCATTTCTCAGAGATTCTCGGACACCCACAGCCTCCCAAAAACACAGTGCGTTTGTGTGGGTCCGAAAACACCAGTGCTTCTGTATGGGTCTGGGTAGGGTCTGTGCCTTGAAGTGTGTTTGATGCAGTGTGACATCCGCAGCATTTTTTGGCTCAGTCGATGGGCTCTTTGAAGGGCTTCCTGGAGCGGATGACCAGGCAGGTGGGCTTGGTTCTCCAAGTGTATAAGATGTTCAAGTGGGGTCTGGCAGTTGTTTTTATGTTAGTTTAAAGGAAGTCATCGTACAGTAGGCGAGGTTGGTGCAGGCCGTGCAATCGGCGCTGAGCTGGCCTGGGAGTGCCTGGCAGCGGGCGGGCTTGTTACCGTGCAGTCGGCGCTGAGCTGGCCTGGGAGTGCCCAGCAGGGCGCCCGGGCAGCTCGGCGTGCAGGCGGCGGTGGGGCCCGTGCTCGTTGGTGCGAGGACTCAGAAGTGAGAAGAGCAAAGCACACCGTGCAGTCGGCGCTGAGCTGGCCTGGGAGTGCCCGTCAGGGCGCCCGGGCAGCTTGGCGGCGGTGGAGGTGGAGCCGGTGCCAGCACACCGTGCAGTCGGCGCTGAGCTGGCCTGGGAGTGCCGTCAGGGCGCCCGGGCAGCTTGGCGTGCAGGCGGCGGTGGGGCCCGTGCCTAACAGGTCACTTGCTGTTCAGTTTGGGGTTTAGGGTTTAGGGTGTAGCTGTAAGTTTAATTAAGATAGAATTAAAAAAACCCCTGTTCGCAGGCTGGTGGCCAGCGAGCAGAGGATGCCGGCGCCACGTACAGAGTCCCGAGCACCACCACCGCCGCCGGCACCACCGCACGTTCCCGCGAGGAAGGTGCCGGAAAAGCGGATCCTGAGCTCGGAGTGCTACAGCAGCAGCTACGAGAGCGAGCCCGAAGCACCCAAGAAAAGTGCTGTTGTTGTTGAAGTGGCGGAGGACTCCACGGCAGTGTCTGTGGAGACAGTGGCAAATCCGGAGCCAAGGGAGAGGGACCCAGAGGCGTCGGATAGTGAGAAGGGTGTTGGCCACAAAATCCCTGTTCAAAGCAACTGACCTTCCGTTCGTTGGTATCTAACCTTCTGACCTTTTCGTTTTGGGAGCCTTAAGGGGCTTTGAAAGCAGGATTTAAAGTGAGCATTGAAGACCATGAACAGTGAACAGTGGACAGCAACAGCAGCAAAAGCCGGAGCAGCAACAGCAGGAACAGATTGCAAGTTGGACTGGGGTGGGGCAGGGCAGGCTCATCAACGATGTCATGAATATATTGTTGCCAGAGGGAATATACACGACACTGTCCACCGTCCATTGTTCTACGTACTACTACTACTACTACTACTACTACTACTACTACTACTACTACTACTACTACTACTCCTACTACTACTACTGCTGCTACTACTGCTACCGCTACTACTACTACTACTACTACTACTACTACTACTACTACTACTACTCCTGTGCACAGGGAAGACCCCACCCAAGATGCAGCTATACTCAGTTGCAATCAAAACAATGGCGCTTTTTTTTGCTCTCAGTTCTGCTCTGCCAGCTTCTTCTTCAGTAGTTGTGGTAGTAGTGGTAGTAGTGTAGTAGTCAGTGGCAAAACAGCATCCGGCCACAGTCCAGTAGTTCATTGGTGCCAAAGCCATCGAGAGCCCGACCTGGCTCGCAACATTGCATGGGAACACATTGTTGAAAGCATCACTCAGGCACAGACTGTGATGCATCATGCTGGTTCGTCCTTTTCTCTTCAGGTCCTGCAAGCACCAGGGCTGATCAACACAATTGAGAAAAAACAGCACGAGTCCTTCTCATCTTTCGCCGGCTGAACACGGCGAATCCAACGTGGCGTTTGTGTGCTCACCGTTCGAGTTGAACATGCATCAACATCATCTGTAGCCTCCACGTCCACATGACAAAAAGGCGAGTCTTCTTCTGATTCTGGCGGCTCTCGCGATTCTGCTTCTTGCTCTTTGGCATTTTCAGCCTTGTTCTTCGTCCATTGTGCCCATCCCGACTTACCAGATCTGCCACTCCGATTGCTGGCGGGTTTTTTGGCAGTATTCTTCTTCTTTCTATTGACCTTCCGGCCCATTCTCCACAAACAGTGGACAATGGACAGTGGACAATGGACAGTGGACTGAGTGGACACTGCACGTTGGATGAACTAGTGCTGTCCGTTCTGCAATGCTACTGCCCTGAATTTGCAGACTCTGCACAACATTGTTCATGATTATGAAGAACATGATGCTGATGCCACATTCTCTCTCTAAAGCTCGAGCACAGAACACTGCATGCTCCAGAAACTTGTCATATGTTCTGTCCAGAGGCCCCAAATGCAAACATTAACAGAAAAGCAACTGCTTTATGTAAAAGTAGAACATGTAGTAATGTAGTAATACTACAACATCAGTGTGCACACACATGACAGCCTGCATGCGCACACAGCACTGCGCGCGCGTGAACATTGCGCGCGCACTGCGCGCGCACTGCGCGCACACTGCGCGCGCACTGCGCGCACACTGCGCGCGCACAGCGTGAACATTGCGCGCGCACTGCGCGCGCACTGCGCGCGCACAGCGCGTGCACTTTTTCACAGCAGCCTGTGCAGCATTCTGCGCGCATAGCGCGCGCACACACGATATATGCGCGCGCACTGCGCGCGCACTGCGCGCGCGACTGCTGCTGCTGGCAACAGTGGACAGTGGACAGAGTCTGAGCTCGTTGAGGTAGGACCCCAGCACCTGCAGGCCAACACTGTCACTCGCAGTGGTTCACAGAATCCCTCAGTTTCACCCTCCGCAAGCCCCGAATCCCTCCCCCACAATTAAAAAGGTCGCGAATTAACCGACACCTCCTCCGGTTAATTCGCCTTTCCCCACCTTTTGCCCTGCCTTGGCACGATACCCTTTTAGACCTAATAACTGTCCACTGTCCACTGTCTACTGTCCACTGTTTGTTAGCACTGCCAGCCGTGACTGGAGACTTGCAGGCCGGCTGGGCACGTTTACTAATACAGAGTTTCATGTGCAGAAAATAGGCTTTTCAGGGTTAGCTTTCTGGGGGTATGTTTCAATGTGGAGGATTCAGAGGTTTTGTGGGTTGGACGAAATCTTTCATTGTCTTAAGCTTGTGCCCTGATCAGCACTTGTTACCAGTATGCTCATGTCCATCAGCAACAACTTCACAGCTGCCAACACCCTCGACACTAACACCATAAATTGAACCGCCTGGTGTGACAGGTGAGGGGGGGGGGGCGGGGCGGTCGATTAATGTACCCTAGGGGTAATCATTGAGATCATTCAGGCTTCCAGCTTACTCTGCAAGTGTGCTGTTGCTTTGAAGTTACATGTATCAGGGCTTCCTTTGTGCTTTTTAGCTGAAAGGTTACTGCATTGAGTAGGTTATTCAAATCATTTCAACCGCTATCAAAATGGCGGCTACTACTCCAAATCCAGCCACAAGTGCTGGCCGCCAACAACATCATCATTGAATGCTTGGTTGTGTGTGATCTGCTTCGAGGAATGATGATTGGATAACTTCATGTCGCGTCAAACATAACCGTGTTACTTGAGTGCTTTGTTTTGTTCCAGAGATGTCTTCATGCGAAGTAACGGTGCCCTGATTCATTGATTCGCATCCCTAGAGTAGATAGAATGCTTTCTGTGAAACCCAATATACTACCACCTGCTCGCGCGCCCATTTCACTGTTCACTGTTTGCTGTGCATTGTCCACTGTACTGTAGCCAGTTGCATTGACTGCGGGCTTGCTTGGCACATTTGCAGGGATAGCCTAACTCAGGTTGCATCGCCAGCACTCTGCATGGGCCCAACCCACCACAAACTTGCAGGGGCCCTTGCGGACCAGCCAACTGCAAGGGGCAGGTTAGGCCAACCAAATGCAGGGGCAATGCACCTCAACACAGGAATTCAGAATATGTTTGGGTGTTGTGAATGTTGTGAATCACGAGTAGTTGCCATCCCTATGAGGTGAGACTTCATGGGCCTGACTGTGCTGCCCAAGCTTTTTTGCCTGCCTTGCGCTTCTTATGTCGCCAGGCATTCCTGCTCGCGTGGGACTTCACAGTGTCCTGGGAGCTTGGCATCTCGGCTGAGGCCGTGGAGTCGGGGCCTTTTGTAACAGTAGACAGTGGACAGTGCACAGGGGACACGGTCGTAGTAGTAGTAGTCGTACTAGCACTTGGCGAAGGAGGCGCGATAGGTTCTGGGTCTTGCTTTGGTGACATGGCTTCTGGATCATCGCTCGGCATAGCAAAGCATACTGCAACTGATGCATGCTGAAGGGCCTCCGCCACGTCTTCCTCGTTTGCATGGCAGTAGTGCCGCCTGAAGGTTCCCACGTCGAGCCGCTGCTGGATTTCCATGATGACATGCTCAGAGGCGCGTTGACCGCCCTCTGGGGTTGCAAGCAACAAGGCAGATGCAGTGTGTCTAGTAGCTCCATGCACTGTCACATGTGAGCCTTTGAATTTCACATTCCAACGTCTGCGGCCGGTGAGTGCAAACATCACTTTCGCGACATGGGTCACTGCTTTCCACACTGTTTGCCTGGCCATCCACGGTTGCTTTGCTTTTTTGGTTTGAGCTGGGAATATGTACCTGCTGCCAATGGGCCAGCAGAAGGCTTTGGACGAGCGTGGCGGAAAGTCTTGAAACACGCCTGGGTGGGACTTCCTGAAGGGCTCAAGTGGGGGCAGCACACATCTCTGCACACCTTTGTCCATCACCTCCCTGAGTGTGCTGACAACATCCGGAGCAAGACGAGCAGCGATGCAGTCAGCCCCAAGTTTGCCCATTCCTTGGAAGTCTTTGTTGTCTTCCCGCTTTTGGAACAAGATGTGAGGAGCATCTTGCATGTGCCCTCCATCCAGGAAAACATCCGAACCTCGAAGTTGCAATGCCTCAGAAATTCGACGGGAGGTAACCATCGTGATCCATAATGCCATGACATACCGTGGCCCGGCAAAGTAAAGGCTCACTGCCAGGAACAGCAAAAGGTCTTCCCTGGGAACGAACAAATGCTGGAGGTCTGTCTTCGACAGCTTTTTACCTTTGTTCCATGGCTTGCGCTTGGCTTCTTGCACAGTGGACTGTGTCTTCGACCTTCTTTTCTGCAACTTGCCCTTTGCGTCTGGCACAGTGGACAGTGAACTGCAGGACAGTGAACTGGTTAGTCTTTTTCTGGGTGCCATGGGGTCTGGTGAAACACTACTACTGGATACTCTAATGTTGCCTTGAGCCAGGAGCTTCTGTTGCGTTGCACTTGGAGGGATGATGTCACACTGTTCGCTGTTCACTGTGAAAACCATTTGCCTTCAGACCCGAGCCCTACAATAACTATGCAACATCACATGAATGCTCCCCTGGCAGGTCCGAAAGCCAAGCTGCTGTCCACTGTTCACTGTTCAGCTGTCCACTGTTGACTGTTCACTGTCCTCGCCTGCAGCAGCGGCGCCGCGGCATTGGCTCCACGGCAAGGCCGGGTAAAGTGTCATCCCTAAACCCCCAAAATGCATGCATCAGCTTGCACTGTCTGCCTGCTTTGCTGCATGTTCACACAGATTCAGATGAACTTTGCAGTGCTACCTTGCCGCCGGTGTTTAAATTCGACAAGACCACTGTGCCCTGTTCCCACTGTCCCTTGTTGACTGTACATATTTTGTTGTGTGCCTGAAGCAATGGCTGACACGGGTTCGGCGGCTGGATCCACGATTTCGACTGACGGCTTTGAGGCAAGGCAAGGGCACTTCTCTGTTTGAGCTGAGTATTGAATGCACTGCTTTAAATAGCCCAGACCCCAGCCTGTGCTGCAGGAAGTCAATTTCCAAGATGTTTATGAAGAAGCGGAGAAGACGAAGGGCGACAAGAAGGACGCTACGCCTGCCGTGGTGCCTGCGGGGGTCCCTGATGACGGGACGGTGACAGAAGCACGGCAGCAGCTTCAGCGATCCATTTTGTCGCCGACGTCAGAAGCCGACACGGAGGAGGAGGAGGCCCCGAAGCCCGTGCTTCAGCTCTCGGCCAAGCCGAAA